AGAAAAATAAATATCCCCTGTTTACCTCTTTCTAATTCTACCCCATCTAATGATACCTGACCGTTTTATCCCCATTTCTATGTACCACTGTTCTCTACCTCATCAATGTTATCCTGATCTCTTTTGTGATCGTTGCAGGCAGCTTCATCAGTAAACGGGTTTTGTAGGGCAAAGCCGAAGCTTGACTATTACTACGGGCCAAAGAATTTAGAAATGAGGTGCACTACATAAACCAGGATATTCACCTGAGCCGTGGGTAGATCTCTACTTGGCACGTGTCAACAATCTATAGGCAAATTCTCCGGATTGCAAGAGCCCTTTGTCAGAACCTACTGATCCAGATATGAATCAGAGGTCTACGTCAACGTCGGCCAATCCACGAGTGAATTGGCGAGGTGAGAAGCAGCTGGTAAAGATATTGCACTTACTTTGCCTCCTTCACCTCCTTCGAGTCTGATCCTGTTTGTGGTAGCTTGTCTTTTTCTTCCGACAGTATCGCTTATCATCGGTCAAGATTTAAGAGCCCAAAAATTCCTCTGACATACAAAATGTCTCATGGAAGACCATAATACGCGTAACTTGGGCCTCTTCTTTGGCGGAAAGAAGAGCGTTCTACAATCAAGTTGCGAAGTTTACATTCTAGAGCAGCTTTTAGTAAAAGAAGAAGGCCTGAGTGTAATTTACGCTGGCTCCTAGCGAATAATCAAATGAGCTGTCAAGATGATCATGACAAAGGCATTATGAAAGCATGTACTTAGCACATGAGTAAAACAAGCTATACTCTAGCAATGTAGATTTAACGAAGATGTTCACTGAATGGGTTTATTTATGGGCTAATGCATATACGGTTGCGTTGATATTGCATTTTGCCGGCCCGCAAATCCTTAAAGTCTTTGAACAAATGCTGACTAATTCCTAGTTGTTAAAACTTAAGTATTGACTAAAGGTCCAGGCACATGCTTCGCTTATCGTCTACCGCCGTATGACGCAGCTGAGGAGGACTGGACTCGTCAGTGCGCCCCACAGCGTCCGCCATGGCCTTTCTATCATATGACATTTAGAAAACTCGTCCGTCAATTTAGACGATGTCCACTATGTGCTCCACAGCAGGATGGGGGCCGGGGCGGTGACTTGTGCGTGCGTTAGTTTAAAAGGGAAAGTGGAATTTCGAAGCATCTACCTCATTATCTCATCTTCCCGCACCGGACTCCGGTGTCAAAGGGACTGGAGGCAGGACAGGGCGCTTGTGGCTGGCATGGGGAAAACCCGAACCCAGGCATCTGACCACACTGGCGCGTATCCCACTGAGTGGGAATGTCATAGAGGCCACGTTAAGAATGATCAATTGCAGCCTGACTCTCAATCCTCCGATGAGGACTGAGTTATCCCGTCGGTTGGTAGCCTTCCAAGCCACACCTTTTGGTGCACCGCGATAGATTCGATCGCGTCAGATTGGTTATAGTAAAGAATATGCGTTAAGACAGTCGACCTCACTCTCTATTTATGCTCCCAGAGACCAGTCCACTGTCCGACCCGGCCAGTTTTCTGCGGCGGGGAGTGAGCGCAGTGGCTGCCAAGGTTAAATGGCACTTCTGTGTGTGCCACATACACGACCTGGTTCCCCAAACGTTCACACGAGGATTACACGCAAATGGGAGTAGGCGGCTCAGATCGCACATGTATGAGAGTGCCAGTAGGATGGAACCATCGCAGACTGACCCTCAATCCATTAGTCAGCTACTCAGCTCACACGCGCACTAAACTGACTGATTGGTCTGAGTTAAATCGTCAGCGGGTAATCCTCCAAGTCGTCGCTTTAAGAGCACAATGGTAGTCTCAAGCGCGTCAGATTGTTTATGGTGATCAATTAATGGCTGGCAGTTGACCTCACTGACTCTACCTCTTCCCCTTCATCGGCCTACAACTTCAGAATCAGCGACTACTCCGTCAGAGGTATTATTTCGTCGGTGACAATCGGGAGATGACACCCAAAAAATCCGTTACCTAGAAATAATACCGTTAACACTGGACTCAAACGCCTTCAGACTATATCAGCGGTTGCAGGCCTACTTTCACGCACTACTTGGACTTTCCGCGACGGCCTAACATGAGCTGGCCGAACGAGCATTGCAGGAGGTTACATGAACGATGGTCGCTGTTACCCAATCTTCCCCATCCTTATACACCTACACCTGAATATACGGCATACATTTGCATTATGGCAGCTTATTACAAAACAAAATCACTTTTTAATAGGATAAGTCTGCAAAGCATGGGACAGGAACAGTTCCCAGGCATCTGTCAAAGACATGGCATTGAGGCCAAACCAAAGACGACACTGTACTTCCTCTATGTGAGCCCACACAGCTCGACCACATACAGGGCTTCCCTCGTAGAGTTTCCTTTTCAGTCTACTCCAGTATTCCTCAATGGCGTTGGTGTGCCGTCCGGTGGTAGGGTCCTCGAAGTTTTTTGTGTGGTTAACAGAGAAATGTAGATAACCTTCTGAGGGAGGACGATTATATGCTTTCCACTCGTCCGTTTCAACTATACTGCCTTTGGCGACCCATTTTGTAATAATGGAACGGAGAGCGGACCAACTTCGATCATTCGCCTGTTTAAATAAGGCTTTCCGTCGCCTAGTGTCGTACATCCCGACTAGCCACCACACATAAAACCCCTATTACCACCCATCCCGTAAGACAGGCTGCTTTTGTTAGGCGGAATTTGGGTGCCATCTTCCGACTGTTACCATTTCGTCGAAGCTGAACGGTGGCGCTTTTCCTTAGAATGTTGGGTTGTAAATCGCCCTGATTGACGTTAGGAGCTATTTTATTTCATTGCGGTCCACATACCCCCGAGTGTTCTCGGGATTGCGTGTTATATAGGCTTTCTGTACCTCCCATGGCTGTTTTTGCACAAACTGGCGACAGTTGAAGGAGGACATCTTATTAGCGTCGTTCCGGCGGCCGATGTACGTTTTATACGTTCAGTTCTTTTCGACGAGATGCTTTTTTGAAATCTGCGTCGTTGTTGTTCAATCAGTCCACGTGTTGGCGACGTACGCGTCCGAGGACGTCCGGGACAATAAGTTGAATGACGTTATGCAGTTGATACCACCGGATCTCCACGGTGAGTTTATCATCTGGAGCCGGTAGGTCTAGCAGCCGCTAATTCAGTCGACTGCCGAAATCAAATGAGTGAGCGCGCAAATTCGACAGAATATTACTGGTTGTCGTCTACGTTGCGCGATTTTAGTCAGAGCCTCATCTTGGAGATTAGGAAGTGGCGGTCGGTTCAACTGTCGGCGTCGCAGATGGCCTTCGTCGCCACCACGTCCTGCGACCTCGCCTCCGGGCGATAATGTAATTCAGCAGCTGCCAGTGCCGTTATCGGAGATGCATCTAGTTCGCTTTCTTCCACACTGGAAGGCGGAAAGAGGTGTTAGTCATGAGGAGACGATGTTCTGCGCGGGTTCGCAGACGGAGGCGCTTGTCGTTGCAGCGGCCAATTTCATGGGGACCCATCACTCCCCAAACAGCCTGGTCTGCTCGACGCGGGTATTACAATCAACAGGATCAATCAGTTTTTCTGCTTTCAGCACAGTCGCCTGGTTGACGTGCAGATCCTCGTAGAATTTGTTTTCGCTTTGGTGGAGCTGGTAATTGGGGCACAGAGACACTGGTAATTGACGACCGTTCCAGGGGACGATGGAACCGGTATCCACCCACTTCAGCTGACTCAGCTCTGAGAATTGGGTCTTACTGAGAGCGGCGATGTGTACCATCAAACGTGCCAGTACTCGAGCGACTAGCGCCATTCTCCTTTCCGACCGACTGCCCGTCGAGTTGTTTAGAAGTGGACAAATATTTCAGGCTGCCAGGGTGAGCTGACTTACCCTAGCTGCCTGTGGGGTGGAGCGGAGAGTGGGGGACAGGAGTTGTCCTTGCTGTTTTCTTTGTTTTGTTGACCGCGAGTTTTGCATCAACAGACCACGGTATACTTGCAGATGGAGTGGTTTCCCAGCGTCTGTTTAGGACGCCTTTTCTAGCCCCTTCATCGTTCGGGGCTAGGCAGTTATATTCCTAAATAAGGCCTTTTTGGATGTCCAAAACTGCTGCCCAACTCCACTATGGGTTAAGGCTTTATTTGGTTGCAAGCGACCCTAGTTTGCTTGGGCCGCGTACGGGATTAAATGCCACCCTCTCCATTGGATTTTAAAAGCGGAAGTTAAGAGCATAGAAAGGGTGGAGGGAGGACGGTAGAGGGATGGGCGGGGAACAAAATTACCGGGAGTGAGCTTGGGGTGAATCCTTCAGAACAAGCCGTTTCAGGCTCCTTCCGGAAGCTGATCTGAACACTTCAACTGAAATTCTCCATATTAGCAAAATAATTGCCAACAGGCAACGAAAAGTATACAAGTGCTGATTGGTCAACGGTTAAGGATGAGGGCGCTTTGCCTAAAATGACCTAAAAACACACTTTCTTCGCATCTTCCTCTAAATTCCACATTTGTTGATGAACATCGAGGGACTACAGAGAAGGGCGTTATCGCACTGCTTTTGGCAGACAGAGAGAAAGACAGCCTGTCTTGCGAAAGCTGCTGACGACTGGGACATCAGGGTAGTTTTTGTCCAGGAGCACAATTTTTTCTATTTTACTAGGTTAAGTCTGTATTATGCCTCTGGCCTTGTAAAAACTAGGTCCTGCTGCCTGCTGTTGGAGTTGTTTAGTTGTGGCTGACAGGAAAATCCGCTAGTTAAAGATCAGTGCACCAACCTGTATAAGGGAGCGGGAAAGTAGCCTTCATAACTCATATACTTACAGTCATTATTACCTACTAATACCCACAACAGAGTCCAGTAATGCATTTTAAGCAGCATTTATCAAGTGAGGGTGCGCAGGAGAACAGTGTGTCGCGAAAGGATAATGGTCCACGAAAAGATTTCATGGGAATATGGAAATTTACGTGTGTTTTAGAGGAATCGAGATGAAGACTAATGGAGGAGGAGGAGGAGGGGGAGGAGGAGGAGGAGGAGGAGGAGGAGGAGGAGGATGAGAAGACGACGAAGAACAATAAAAGAGAAAGTAAACTTTGTGGGATGCTCCAGATTTGAAAAACGACAGAAGTGTCAGCACGCTCTTAGAACTTTAATAGACCATGTGACCAATAGTTTTTCAGGATTAAATATTCACACCTCGCTACATACATTGTGAACTGGGTAGCAATCGGAAGATGGCACCCAAAAAAATCCGCCTAACCAAAGCAGCCTGCCTTACGGGATGGGTGGTAATAGGGGTTTTATGTGTGGAGGCTAGTCGGGATGTACGACACTAGGCGACGGAAAGCCTTATTTAAACAGGCGAATGATCGAAGTTGGTCCGCTCTCCGTTCCATTATTACAAAATGGGTCGCCAAAGGCAGTATAGTTGAAACGGACGAGTGGAAAGCATATAATCGTCCTCCCTCAGAAGGTTATCTACATTTCTCTGTTAACCACACAAAAAACTTCGAGGACCCTACCACCGGACGGCACACCAACGCCATTGAGGAATACTGGAGTAGACTGAAAAGGAAACTCTACGAGGGAAGCCCTGTATGTGGTCGAGCTGTGTGGGCTCACATAGAGGAAGTACAGTGTCGTCTTTGGTTTGGCCTCAATGCCATGTCTTTGACAGATGCCTGGGAACTGTTCCTGTCCCATGCTTTGCAGACTTATCCTATTAAAAAGTGATTTTGTTTTGTAATAAGCTGCCATAATGCAAATGTATGCCGTATATTCAGGTGTAGGTGTATAAGGATGGGGAAGATTGGGTAACAGCGACCATCGTTCATGTAACCTCCTGCAATGTTCGTTCGGCCAGCTCATGTTAGGCCGTCGCGGAAAGTCCAAGTAGTGCGTGAAAGTAGGCCTGCAACCGCTGATATAGTCTGAAGGCGTTTGAGTCCAGTGTTAACGGTATTATTTCTAGGTAACGGATTTTTTGGGTGTCATCTCCCGATTGTTACCGTGAACTGTAGCTAGAGTTTTGAGTCTAAAGATGATAAGTGATAGCCAAGACTGCGCTACCTCGCAGTCCTACGTACGGCGTTTGTATGGGGAATTCGTTGTAGCTAAGAGCTGCACATATAAAATGCTCCAATTCAATTTTAAGGTTTCTTCCGGTATCCCTTCTGGCCAGAAGTACTTTAAAAATACACAAAAAGTCGCATTAGGACTTCTTGTGATGCTTAGCTTTTTGCTTGTTTGGATTATTTTACATTCACTTGGGACTTTGGCGACAGTGTGTGAATTTTACACCATCTGAACAAAAAAGTAAATAAGTCACAGTATGAAGTATATTAATTCTGTGCAGGCGAAACATCGTTTCCGGCAAGTCCTGGTGAATCCTGCAGAATTGCATGTATACCATTTGGTATTGTTATTTGTGTAGCAAATTATTCGAGGCTGACCGGGGTGAGCAGTTGTCGGCGAGATGTGAGCGGGATTGGGGTGACCATGTGGGGACGCGGGGAGAGCAGGAGGACATGCCAGCACATCATGCGCGACAGGAAGGCGGGGAAGGAACCTGTCCACTCAGCTGTTGCGCCTAGCTGTATGTGGGGCTTGACGACGGGCCAGGCGGTTTCGGTCAAGGGAGATGTACAGAAGACTTTTAAGAATGGAAGATGGCATTGTCTGGAGGGCTAAAGACCATATGCCTAGTTAGTAGCTTCTGTGGTTTCAGCAATGCCCTGTAGAAAACAGGAAGAATTAACTGTTTCAAAATTTTGGAGTAAGGCACGGACTTTTATCCCTGTTAGACTGCCATCCGAGATTTTGTTTGCAGTTCAACGGTAATTTAATAGGAATGGAGAACCCATCAACAACGAAGCATTTCGAGTAGAAACAACAACATACATTTTAATTGGTACTTCTCTTTGCTCTCTGAGCCTTTGTAGTTGGTTGTGGGTGAACTTGTCCGCCAATTTCAAATTTTACATTGTCATTTAGGCTGCTTGTTTCATTTTTGACATGGCTGGGCGATCATATCTTCGGATAAAACTTTAAATAACATCACTTACTTCAGGAACATCAACTGCCACTCTCCATCTTTCCGGTAATATGCAAACGCACACTACTATTCATTTAAATGCACTCCAAAATACGTAAAGAGCGAAGTTGGTCAATATTTGAATCCATAAATATGTCTTCCTTGGTTTTCGGCGCCGCAATTCACTGTCCCGGACAAGAAAACAGCAATCAGAGCCAGTGAATTACGAGGTGAGATAGTCAATCAGCAACCCGCACTGCATGTCTGGAGGTTCAGCGTAGGCCACTGCGTGGATTTACTGAATACTTGTCTGAGCTCAAGTGTGCTTTCGACAAATTGTCGTCGGGTCAGTACATTTATATCGGAGCGGGACACGAGTAAAACATTTGAGTGATAGGAGGGATCGCTTAGAGGTATTTTAGCAGGTTTCGAATAAGTTATTTTGACCGGACTGTGAAAAACTCGGCAACCTCGGTTGGATTTGTACCCACTTCAGTAAGGGCAAGTCTTGAGTGCAGTCAACGCAACAACTACCCAAGCTACGAGGCTCCGCCGGGAGCCGTGAATTTTATCCGGCTTGAATCAGTTTGCCCGTACAGCCTACTGCTACGTGTGAAGTTCACCAAGTAGGCTAGAGTAAGCTGACTCTCCAAGCAGGATTTCCCAGATAATAAATAATATATAATAAATAATAAGTAATAAATCCAGAATCCACCAGATGACTGCCGTGCCCCTTCAGCATAAATGCAGTCTTGTTCGTTGTTTGGCGAAAAGGATTAGGAAAGTCTATCCGGCGGACAGCCTGGACAAGTGACTTCTAAAAGTCCAGGACCTGCTTTGCGAGAAAGAGTATTTCGACAGATTTATTGCAAAGATTATTACCGGGAGACCCGCTAAACCCCTTATACTGAGGACAGAAAAGAAGACCGATTCTTAAAGTTCATTTTCAAGGGGATGAAGCAAGCAAATCCCCGAAAGGGCACCTTGACCGGCCTGTTCCCTGACCCGTTCCAGCGGAAAGAGTTAAGGCAATACCCTCGAACAACCCTGTTTTACACGTCGAAGGTAAGGATAGATGACCAGCTTAGACCACCTCCGTATGCATTTACCCCATTACTTGCTTCTTTCAGACAGGTTACTTCGGTCGCACGAGTAGGCGCCGATAACAAAACATACGGGAGGACCTACCGACATGGTTGATAAAAGAAGGAAATAAAAGCGTAAACAGCGGCATCCTGGCACACTACTGATTTTGGACATCGTGTGGACCCTAACGAAGCCTCCACAGGATTTACAAGGTCCCACCGAACGACCTTAAATCACTGGGTCAGCATCTGCTAATAACAGCGGAGGCGACCACTATCAGGTTAAAAAAGTCGGTTTTGTGCGCACGCGGAAGAGCCTGGTATAAGCTTCCCATCTGTTGTGGTCAAAGATCGGTTAACTGCATGTACTTCTCCGCGTCCTCCCGCGCCTTCCCCTCAACCTACTATCCCCTATTCCTTCCCCCCTGCTCTCACACGGCACTTGTGTAAAAAACGAGCTGTTGTCGATTTCTTTTATCACTCAGATTTTAAACTCGTGTCCCATTCCCATATAAATGCCCTGGCCCGATGAGAATCTATCAAACGTACACTCATGCCCGCCAAATGTTCGTATGTATCCTCCAGTGAGAATTTTCAATGAGAATTTTCGGCAACTTTTATGTTGCCGTAAGGAGCTTAATTCACAACTTGTCTTTACTAGGACGCGTTATTCTGTCAATGGAAGAAGGACTTTTACCGTTGGACATCCACGAAGCCAAGCGCGTGCTTTCACAAGTTTAGAACGTCATTTCCATAAAAACATTCCGCGTGCGTCTTGACTGGATTCGCCAACTGCTATCCATTTACGCCGTCGTTAAGGCGCAGTTTGTGTAAAAAGAAGTTAAATATTACTGTCAAAAAGCAGAAAATTTCCGATGACGAAAGGCGGATGAATGCGACAGCCACAGTTGCGCTATCAGGTGATGTGGATGCTAACAGTAGATGCGCATAAGCCAGATTAGTGGAGGTCATTTTTTGACACTCCACATCTACGTTTGCTGGTATGATCCGATTTTAATTATAAAAGTGAAGCCTGATATCATAGTGGCTTCATAACGTGCCCATAGAACTGTCCACTCATTTTAATCAGTGCCTAGGGACTTAAAACGACTTTGAAGGCTAAATACCTTGGAAACATTCACCAGTTTTACGAAGAAATAACGGTCAGATGCGGTTATGTAGCCCCACCTGAAGTAACCAAACCCCAGACACCTGTAGCACGGGATTGGTGGTAGTAGGGGTTTTTACCTGTGGGACAGGGGAACGCACGGGCGACGAGGTCAAGTCTTTGTATGCAAAAGAAAAGCTATTGGGAAGTAGCGGTTGTACTTTTAGTGATTGAGAAGTAAGGGTCATAACCCCTTACCCTAACATTAACTTCTTACCCTAATCCCTAACTTTTACCCCTAACCCTAACCCCTATCCCCAACTCCCACAGTGTTGTGTCCATCAAGTGAGACTAAATAACCACGTCTTACCGAAAGAAAAATTTTAATCTGCGAACTCTTGTGTTGTCAGTATTGGCTGAAAATTTTCGAATTTTAAATTTTTTGACCAAATTAATGAACTGTAATCCGTTGACTTATCTGAAATTGCCAAGCCTCGTCTTTCAGCTGTTATATTTAGGATGATTTTGAACACAGTGGCCACTGCCAAAACTCCTTAATGAATAATACTCACTCATGAATTCCTTTAAAAGTGGACAACGCACACGAGCCATGCTCTTTGGTTTATACGCCAATGGAATCCAGGGTGGTAGGGCATATATCCCTGTTATTCCATTTGGAATACTTAAGCCTACCTGAAATCTCGCGCACTGCACAGGGGCACATGTCATTTGTAATTCCGTCCAATATACATTATTTTGAGCGGCGTCGCCTTCTGCGGACTGTTTGCGAATAGTCACGTCAGAAGTGGTCACGCAACTCCAAATAAACTGATCTACAATAGGAGTGGTCCAAAAATAATGGAAAGTACGTTCGGTGGGCTGAGGGAGAAAATATCAGCCACAGAAAGAGTCTTTATGGCGAGATAGTCACAAGATAATCAGGACTCGTATATCAAGTAGGATTCCATAGTGAGTAACTTCGCCTTTTGTACATATGAATTCACGAAAGTCGAAGTATACAAACTGTCCCACAATCAGAGGAAGGCGCTGTCGATTTACTTCACGCCACGATTCAATCTAATAAGAAAATTGGTAAGACGACCAAAACAACACCTTAGACGAAACAACGGTAACAATCGGGGGATGGCATCCAAAAAAATCCGCCTAACCATAGCAGCCTGCCTTACGGGACAGGTGGTAATAGGGGTTTTATGGGTGGTGGCTGGTCGGAATGTACGATACTAGCCGACGGAAAGCCTTATTTAAACAGGTGAATGATCGATCTTGGCCCGCTCTCCGTTCCCTTATTACAAAATGGGTCGCCAAAGGCAGAATAGTGGTAACGGACGAGTGGGAGGCGTATAATCGTCTTCCCTCAGAAGGTTATCTACATTTCTCTGTTAACCACTCAAAGAACTTCAAGGACCCCACCAACGGACGGCGCACCAATGTCATTGAGGAATACTGGAATGGACTGAAAGGGAAACTCCACGAGGGAGGCCCTGTATGTGGTCGAGCTGTGTGGGCTCACATAGACGAAATACAGTATCGCTTTGGTTTGGCCTCGATATCATGTCTTTGACAGATGCCTGGGAACTGTTCCTGTCCCAGGTTGTGCAGACTTATCCTATTTAAAAGTGATTTTGTTTTGTAATAAACTGCCATAATGCGAATGTATGCCGTATATTCAGGTGTACGCGTGTAACGATGGGGAAGGTTGGGTAACAGCGACCATCGTCAATGTAACCTACTGTGATGCTTGTTTTGCCAGCCCATGTTAGGCCGTCGCGGAAAGTCCAAGAAGTGCGTGAAAGTAGGCCTGCAACCGCTGATATAGCCTGAAGGCGTTTGAGTCCACTGTTAAAGGTATTATTTCTAGGTAACGGATTTTTTTGGGTGCCATCTCCCGATTATTACCGAAACAACAACAAGAGTGGTTAGGTGGTCTGCAATTGTCGTGACAACTGCAGGCAACGGACATCATCAACATATTCAAATAGCTTCAGTTCAAACCGCCAAATTCAACTCCTTTCCATATAACAATTGAGTCGTTCAAACGCGAATGAGGAACCGAAAAGTTAGCTTTGACTGACGAAACACCATTTGCTTACCAAATGTTTTGCTGCGGAGGAAGGAGCTCTTTCCTTCTTTTCTTTCTCGATATATTCTTAACCGTTGTATATGAAAATTAGTTTCGTATTCGCTCACTGTACCCGTATTGCAAGTGTAGGTTTATTCGCGGATACTTGAGGGTCGCTTGAGTGATCAATATTTGCCAAATTGTCTTCCTTTAGGCGCATTTTGTGTTAATAAAACACCGTGAGGGGACTGTATTGCGGGTCTTCCCACCGACTCGCATGAATCTGCATGACAATGTTTGCCTTTAGAGGACAATGATATCGCGATGACCTTTTCCAGGACAGATTACCCATTAGCACTTTGGCCAAATGGACTACATCAGTTATGAATGCATTTGTTTGAATTACAGCGTGCTGATGCGATACGATTGTTGGCAGTGACTAGATTTCCAAATGAAAGGCCTAGAAAGACATAATTAGTAGGGTAACACCTACCGTGGCAGAGTGCGTACAGCAAATCACCGCGGAGATGTCCGCGATTGAGTACGTCAGATGCGTGTGGCGCCGTATGCTGGAGTTGCTTGGTCCTAGAATGCAAACATCTACAGCTCAACCTATCGGGATGCATGCATCCCCTGAGCAAGAAGCGTCCAGACTGCGACGAGATGAGCCAACTGTGGCAATCGTTACTCGAGATACTCTGGGACGAGGGAACTTGCCTTGCTGTTCTGAGTCAGGGCCTATACTAATTCCGGACCAGACGAACAAGTGGGGTCTAACTTATCCGTCTTATTATTACTCTAGTAAGGAAGCATTTGGAAGAAAAGAGGAGAACGTTTACTGAGGAAACTGTTTGGGGGAGATTAACACACCAGTGATGACAGGTATGGTCGGAAGAACCGCATACGTCCTCGTCACCGGTGTAATTTGGCCTTCGTTCCCCAGTTGTCACGACAATGAGGTTGATCGCCGAGTGAATTTTAAAATGGGACATTGAAGGCTCCGTGTTCCATCAGTCTTGAGGATATCTAAAGGGAATTTGAGGAAATAGCTCAGTTTTCGAATTTTCTGGAAGATGAGCCGATCGGCATAAGAACAAAGAGCGAAAGTGAGAAACTTTCGTTATATGAAGGCACTTGAGTAGTTAACAATAGAAAGAAGTACGTAAACGTCAGGCAGACAGCAAGGGCGGCTTCTTTGAAAAGGACGTGGAATATCTAGTCAAGTCTTTAAGATGATGGTGGAAAACCGCGTCAACAGTGAGATCACTGGAAGTAGATTGGGCAAGGAGCACGGTTCTGAGGCATTGTTCACCACTTCAAGGAATAGGCGTATCGTGAGACCGTGAATCAAATTTTAGTACATGAATAAAGGTTTATGGCCGAAAGGATCATATTGGAACGACTCGGAATTTGAAGAGTCCCAAAACGAGGTGCAAGTAAACTGCGGAGGGGGTGGACGAGAAAGTTTAGAGAGACTCAACCCAAGATAATAATGGATGCCTCTGGCGATGACCTGCCGTCCAGAGAACTTGCGGAAAAAACGGGGAAGATGAGGTTTCCCAGGTCTTTGACCGTGCTGTACTGTAGATGGCAGTCAAATAACGAAGAGTTATGCTGCCAGACTCCTAGGCGTTGTTGCTGTCTCTCAGGATATTGTCGGTTGAGACGTAAACGAGGGTGCGGTGGACGACAGCTTTGTTCCTAAACACCATGAAAGTCTTGGGGCGCCCTGAGGAATGTAAAAATCCCACACATGAACCAAAATGTAATAAAATAATAATGACAACGGTCTTCAAAAAGCCCTCTAAAGGAATGATAGTTTGATGGAGGACTCGTCAGAGGTCACCCACTGAGAAGATGGTGCTGCTGACTGGGGTATCCCTGAAAGGCCCTGATATGGGTGACTGAATAGTGTTCAAGACTAATGCTGCTACTTACCGGCCGACACTCATTGCAAAGACGCCAGTCGGCAGTACTGACCTTTAGGAAACATCTGCGATGAAGACAATCAGAAGCCCTTGGGCTAACGTACAATCTCCAGATGCAACATAAGTTAGAATCCGGTTTGGTTCGGACGGGCAAGGGTCCACGGCACATGTTCTCAGGACATTTCGGAGGCTTTATGGTTTTGAGTGATTGCTATGTCGCGAAGGCTAGACTGTCAGTCACCGAGCAGAAATTCCCAAGAGGCTGGAAAATACGACATCAGAATGAGACAAAAGATGCCGGTTGTGGCAAAGAGTCGAGGGAAGGAGAGGATAGCAAAGCAAATACACATTTCCATCCTGCAAGCAGAATAGATCGGTGCATACAACAGCTAGTGATTAACTGCTTCGGATTCCAGCCGCCAGAACGTGATTTTTCTAGTATCATACTGACAGTGTTGCGTGATGAGCAAGTTTCTCGGATTTAACTTTTCCAGAGTGAACCTCAACTAACTTATGATGACGACAATTGTTTTGAGAAATGGTCATTCCGGCGTGTCTGTCTGTGGATATTAAAAAGTTTTAAAAAGGGCTATTTTACCGTTTGACGTGGTCAGTGAAGCAACTGCATGAAACAAAACAGGTCGAGAATAGATTGAGGCCTGTGTCGCGGATTAGAATTCGGCTGATCGATGCGTCGAACTGATTCCGCACAAGAGGACCTGCGCAGTCACCTTAAAGTTTGCGCCATCGATCGCTGATTAGCTGGCTCGGCCAGTCTTCTTTTCCACTTCTACGAACACTTGGAACTCAAACTTTTGCCTTCATTTGTGGGTACATAATGGGCTGTAAGGTCATGACTCAGTAGGATAAAACTTCATTCAGAAGATGAAGATGCGATCACTGGAACAAGAAGTTTATTTGCCTGACGTTTCGGATTCTCACTCGAATCCATCATCAGAGACATTCGCAGATAGAGGTGAAGGTGGCACCAGGAGTGCAGTATTTATAGCACGTGGCTGCCGTGGGACCGTATGCGCACTGCAATTAACAGTTCTCGCAATCGCCGCTGGGATCGTAATGGATGCGGCGGTGGCTTGGCGGTCCGAGTCCGAGTCGTTAATCGCCGCGATTTCGTCATCCGTGCTCGATGCTGGTGTGACGATTGCTCGGCAAACTGGCCCACTGTCACCATGATAATTGCTCACCCGCGCCCTCCCCACGTGACTGATTCTCCAGCCCAGGGAAAATCGCAGTACGGAATAGGGTACCGGGAGGTCATCGTGCTTGTTGATGAATTGCGGGCCTGAGAACCATGACTCGAGCAGCTCGCGGCTCACGCGGTTGTCACCCCTTGCGAGGATTTCGGCCTCTTGAAATTTGAAAATCTGCCGTCTTCGCCCATGAACACGTAGCACCTTGCTTTCTCTTGGTCGATCCTCTGACGAATGATCCGAGTGCTCCTTCAAGACTGTCACTCACGGATTCGCAAATACCGTCAGAGGATTGACCAAGAGAAAGCAAGGTGCTGCGAGTTCATGAGCGAGGACGGCATAAAACTGCTTCAGCAGAGGCTGGTCGAACGAACCCGCGAACATTAAGCAACTCGAGAAGCAGCCCTAGAGAGCAACTTTCGTAAGCTGCCTGCTCCACTGTCATCCAAGAACGACAAACTGGTGCACAACTTGTCGCCAAAGGAGTTGACGGAGGAACAAATCCAGGTTTTATGGCATGAGGCCTCATTCAACACAGCCGATGTCAAACCTGCCAACATGATCGCAGCAGTGGAATCAATCCTCAGCCAGACGGGAGCGACAGACGAAACGAAGAACTTCATTCGACACCAAGTGTCCTCCCTCCTCATGGCTCATAGACCGCGCGATGTGCTTTCCAAGGTCGAGCGCGATGCACTTAAGGAACTCAGGGCCGACAACGACCTCGTTATCGTGCCTGCGGTCAAGGGGCGTTCAACGGTCGTATTGGACAGGACAGACTACAATCAAAAAGCCAAAAGCTTGTTGGAGGATCGTCAGTCCTATGTCCCATGCGAATCCAACCCCATGAAAACGCTGACACGCGAGATTAACGCGACGCTGTTGGTAGTGGAGAACTCAGGTGCAATATCGCCAATCGACCGACGCATGGCGAGAGCACAAGAAACGGCCCTAGCCCGATTCTACGGTCACCCAAAAGTGCACAAAGAGGGCGCTCCTCTCCGGCCTATCGTATCACTAAAGAACACTCCAACCTACGGACTGGCAAGGTGGCTGTTCCAACGTCTCAACTTTCTGACCTCCGATTCGAACACCACAGTCAGCTCGTCAACGCAATTCTTGGAGAAACTTAAAGGAGTAAGTCTCCTGCCAAGCGATAGCATGGTTTCCTTTGATGTCACGTCCCTTTTTACTTCTATCCCGCAGGACCTGGCAATCGAGACAACCAAACTACTCCTACGAGAGAAGTACGACGAAACGGAGAATCGCCTCGGACACGCCCAAATCATCCAGCTCCTGAGGTTCTGTCTCAAGACGTACTTTACATTCGACGGAACAATCTACGAGCAGGTGAAGGGAACGCCAATGGGTTCGCCGATTTCGGGACTCATAGCCGGGGCGGTCCTTCAACGGCTGGAGTCGCTGGTTTTCCGACACCACAGACCGAAATTCTGGGCTGGGTATGTGGATGACAACTTCGTCGTCATCGAATGGGATCAGGTGCTGACTTTCAAAGAACAACTCATCGCCGTCTCCTCGGACATTCAATTTACGATGGAGGAGGAGGAAAACAATCAGCTGGCCTTCCTGGATGTCCTCGTTAAACGCAATGATTGTAGTGGTCATAAAAACAGTGTTCAGGAAAGCGACAAATACGACGCAAATACTGAACTTCAATAGCAACCACCCGATCAGTCACAAACGCAGTTGCGTAAGGGCGCTATACCGGCGTGTTAGGACGCACTGCAGTGAAATGGAAGACAAGGTTGCTGAATTACAATATCTTCGGCGGGTAATGAGAGCCAATGGCTACCCGCGCAACTTTGTCAACCAGTGCATACGAAAAGGACACCAGAGACCAAATCCAACTAGCCCCAAATTTTGGCGGGCTCTTCCGTACGTGAAGAACGTCTCGGAAGCCGTCAGTCGTCTTCTCACTCCACTTGGAGTTGGGGTTTCACACAGGCCGGAAGCAGCCATTAGGCGCCAAGTCATGAGGCCAAAAGACCCGCTGCCACGGCAGGAAACGTCTGGAGTCGTTTACCGGATCTGGTGTAGTTGAGGACAAAGCAATTATGTCGGAGAAACTGGGAGATTACTCCGGACGCGAATTGCCGAGCACGCAGCAGCAGTGAGGCGGGGAGACGGTAACTCTCAGGTGGCGGCACACTCGACGGGACCCGGCCATATTTTCAAATTTTAAGAGGCCGAAATCCTCGCAAGGGGTGACAACCGCGTGAGCCGCGAGCTGCTCGAGTCATGGTTCTCAGGCCCGCAATTCATCAACAAGCACGATGACCTCCCGGTACCCTATTCCGTACTGCGATTTTCCCTGGGCTGGAGAATCAGTCACGTGGGGAGGGCGCGGGTGAGCAATTATCATGGTGACAGTGGGCCAGTTTGCCGAGCAATCGTCACACCAGCATCGAGCACGGATGACGAAATCGCGGCGATTAACGACTCGGACTCGGACCGCCAAGCCACCGCCGCATCCATTACGATCCCAGCGGCGATTGCGAGAACTGTTAATTGCAGTGCGCATACGGTCCCACGGCAGCCACGTGCTATAAATACTGCACTCCTGGTGCCACCTTCACCTCTATCTGCGAATGTCTCTGATGATGGATTCGAGTGAGAATCCGAAACGTCAGGCAAATAAACTTCTTGTTCCAGTGATCGCAACTACATCTTCTCAACTGCTACCTGGGACTCGCCTGTTCGCTTCTATCAGTAAAACTTCATTGTTGTATCCTCCTTCCCGCATACTGCGTCCCGCCGCGGTTCGTGCCCAGCAGAAACTCTAGGAGGTGGTGGTCAGTGTGGAGAAATAAATGTCTGCCGCAAACGAACTCATGAAACTTCTGCATTGCAAAGAGGATTGTGAGGCTTCTTTTCAATCTGACTCTACTTCCGCCCTGCCTGTGCGAGCAATCGCGAGGCATGCATCAAGGGCAGAATTTTGCTGTCTGAAACCTTCTGAAGGAGAACGTCACCTAACCCATCCGCATGGGTAACTGTTTATTTATTCGTTTTGTGCTGTGAAAGTATGGTTGACTCACTGCCCTCCGTCCTTATCTTATTGATTGCTTCCTTAATGTCTGCCGAGCAGTCAAGTTCCGTATCTTTGAAAAGTAGTCGGTTCAACAGTCGCTTTCAACTGTGAAGCCTGGCAACAACTAGCGCGTAATAACCGACTAGACTCATAAATGATTGTAATTTCTGTACATTCTAAAGTACTTTTACATTTTGCCTGGATCCGGCGAACTTCCGGCCTCGCTAACCACGAATACTAGGTAGTGAATTTCCTTCCGAAGAAATTCGCTCTCTTCCATGGTAATTCTTAGGCCATAATCAATAAGATTTCTCACGACATTTTCAAATCTTTTGGGTAGTTCCTCGCCCCTACGACCGAAAATCAAAATTTCGTTCAAGTAGGGAACAGTCCTAGGGGTATTTAGAAGCCCGGTGTCTATAATTTGCTGAAATTTGCTTGGTACCGTTTCGACATCATTGTTGAGACGGATACACTGGAGCAGACTCTTATGCATATTAATGGTCAACATCTGTGCTGTCTCATCGACCGGTAGCTGTAGGTATGTCTCTGGGAGATCAATCTCGGCAAAAACCTTTCCGCTACTTCGAGTCTCAAAAGGGCGGTCCACCACCACAGCGGGTAATTGAAATCTTCTAATGCGTCCTTCAGCAGGGTGGGGTAGTCTGTACACGGCATTATTCTGCCGTTAGATTTCGTCACCGCCAGAATCGGAGGGGCAGCCCACGTGGAATAGTTTTTGATGCAAATAGCGCCATGTTGCTGTAGCCGCTCCGGTCGTTCTCGATCGCTGTCTGTACTGAAAACGGGACGCGTCGACTGTGCCTGATAATTGGCCTCTTCCCCGGCCCCATCCTCAAACTCGCCTCCAATTTTGCGTGCGCTCCAACCGAAATCTTCATATTTGCGATATACTTCTTTTTCTTCCGTAGGTCTTCTGCCGTAACCTTTACAGCGCTGCATATCTCCTAGAAGGACCGACTACAGAGGCTCAGTTCGGAGATAGTCTTGTGGCTAAGCAGATCTTTATCAGACTTCGAGACGTAAATGCCCTCAAAAGCTATAGTAGCCTGAATGACACCCTCAAACTGCATTCGCGTATTGTTTGATGCCTATTCTCGGAAGGCGACTGATCACAGTTCCTGCGGCCCAAAAGCCTTCCACGTGTTTGTGCTGACTAGCGTGAGGTACGAAGCCGTGCCGACCTGTAATGTGGCGGGTTCTCTCTTAATGCCGACCGTCAAATATTTTTTATGTTCACAAATATACAGCTGTGAGTCGTGTTGGGTGATCGAATTACATCGTTTTCTTGGACAGCACTGATTGGCGCGACAGTTTGTTGCTTTTTAACTGACCCGAGAACATTTTTAATTCCTTTCTAGTGCGATATGAACAATCTGACACAGAGCACCATCCACCACCCTGCCAACAATCTGTCTCAGGTTTCCGTGGAGAGATTGACGCGTTTTTCGTCATGCACACAGACTGGCTGTTTGCGTAACCGATCAGGCTGGTGTTGTTTTTGATATTTATGGTCCAGAGGCACTCCTCTGCTAGTTCTTGTACCGTAATCTCTGTTCTCTGTCCCAATTGAGCAAGCAAAAGCGTGCATGCGTCGGCGTTCTCCGGTAGATTTAATGGTTTGATCAAAGAAGAGCATCTGCTGGCCAGTGGCTTGCGCGATGGTGCACGTCATTCAGTCGGCCAGCTTGGTCAACATAACATTTCTGGGGCTGCCTTCCTATATTGAGACACCCGTAACGCCTGCTGAATAGCGACTTTGAAAAACGGAATAAAGACTTCAAATTCTCAACAGCATCGTTAAACGACATATCAACTGGCTTCTTTGGAAAAATGAACCTTATATACCACTCGTGTTTGCTCTGGCCTTGCTTCAAAAGCAGAACTTCCTCACTCGCTTTCTCTTTTAAGTCGGAAGTCGTCCTCTTTACATGGGAGTTCATGCTTTGAGTACCACACTTCAAAACTGATGCCGCCGTCAGGATCGTATGTGAATTCTATAATCCGGTCTTCAGAGGTCTTTACCCTCGTCCTCGCCAGTCAGCGTTCAATTTCTTTGGCTATCTGCAAGCAAAATGGCGAAGCTCCACAGCGTGTATGCCATTCATAACACTCACAATGACTGTCAACATACCTTCGCAGTCGCACATGAGATGTCATTCGTTTGGAACTGCCACGATATTATATTCCACAACTTGAACCTTACGAAATGAATGTGAGAAAGCCTGAAGGTCCATAGTTTTTGAGTTCTTCATCAGCAAAATCTGCAGATCAAAAAGTAATTAAAAACATTCGCCTCACGGAAATTGCAGAAAGATGCTAGGTTTTCTCGCGCATGCTTAAACTTATTCGTAATTAACTTGTATCTAAGAGCACTTAACTGCGGAGAAAACACCAACTGTCGGACCTTTTATATTCGACCGTTAGAGAATGCATAAGGTGTATTAGTGTATCCATGTTTTACACCATCGGGTACTAGTGTAGTAGCCAGAGGAGCATAAGTAAAATTAGCTCTTGTAAAGAAAAACTTCAACGGTCAAGGTTCGGCCTCATTTTAGGATTAAGAAAATGGAGGTGTGAATGTTTTAAGTTTACATAACACTACATACGACGTTATCGAGGCAGTAGGTGTTTGAAAACCCATACTTTTTTCCCAAAATAAAATAAACTAAAAAATATAGTTGCACTAAAATGTTTTCACGGTATATTTGCAGCAGAATCGAAAAGTAATCATCGATCTGGCGAAGACAGCCGGCATTATTTTCAGCGATACGAAATAAAATAAAGGCGGCAAATTATTTCTGTGTTCCCATAACAAATAATTGCGAAATAATCTTGGCTTCTTAGTCCAGGTCCCTAGATGGCTTCGGATAATTTGATTATTGAACCTGTTTATTCCTCCTCCACAGTGCTTAACATGACTTCCAGCAAAACGGAACGAAAAAACCTAGCCGTCGAAGGACTGTCAGGCGGAGCGTTTTTATGCAGACAGACAACGTGCCGTACAAGTGGACATTGCCAATCCAAGGTTATTTTATAAGCTTTAATTTAGCTCAAAACTCTCTTTAGCTTTGCCCTAACTTAAAAGATTAACAGCACTTTTTTAATGAAGTAATGTTTCAACTTTTTAAAGGCAAAAACGTGCTGACGGACAGGAAACAACTTTTCAGAAAATAAATTTGGCCTTTGTCTGAGCAGGGTTCATCGATTCAGATATTTAAGGGACCATTGTACATGCAGTCGCGGTTTCGGCGCTTCTGTACCCTATCTCGATTAGTTTAGCATAAACTACGCAAGCCCCGTGTGTACGAGTGTCTGGGTTGAGTGAATGTACTCCTAGTCAACCAGAATCTGCGCGCTCGGTGAACACACGGAATGGAGTACCGAGATCGCTCGTGTCTTTGAACTTGTAAGAAACCCCTCCTTTTTCCTCTTCGCCTCGAAAACACTTGTAGTTGACTTTTACTCCGTTTGTCAACACAGCTTAGATATGGAAATTTATTCAAAACTCAGAAGACTGCACTAAATTTGAAAAATCAACATGAGTCCAAAATTGGTGACAGTGATTGCTGTTTGAATAGAAAAGTCGCAGATGTAAAGTGTTCTC